GCAAAGCCGCAGCTCTATCAGTAGAGATCAGATAAGCTTTCACAGAGGAAATGGACTAGCAGAGCTCAGAGCAGTGGAAATTGCCCTGAAGCAAGGAGCCACTTGTGTCTATACAGACTCATGTGCTGCATGGGCCGGTGCCACCCAATGGCTAGGGAATTGGATGAAAAACAATTGGCAAGTAAATGGTAGAGATGTACAGGGAAAAACACATTGGGAAAAGATTTATGACATAGCTCAATCTAGAAACATATCCATAGGACATGTATCTGCCCACCAACAATCTAAAAAACCTGAGGCAAAGTGGAATCAGGTGGCTGATCATTTGGCTAGAATAAATGTATTACAAAATTCTGAGGCCGAATGGCTAGGGGAATGGTTACACGAATGGCTAAGACACACGGGGGGGTATGATGGCTGCAAGGAGAGGATGGCCTGTGACAAAAGCTCTGGCAAAGCAAATTGTAGACTCATGCCGTTTTTGTCAAACAATGGTACAGTATATGTCAAATGGACAACAGTTCGCCAACCTTAGGGAAGGTAAACTACTCTGGGAAACTTGGCAAGTTGATTATATTGGCCCCTTAAAGAGAACACCTGAAGGCTGGAAATATATTCTCACAGGAGTAGAAATAATTAGTGGTATAGGGAATGTGCACCCCACCCGAGCTGCAACTGGTCTCTCAACTGTAGCTGGATTAAATACGTGGTTTGCCACTCTTCCCTTGCCTGGAGAAATACAATCAGATAATGGATCACATTTTAAGAATAAAGAGGTGCAAACTTGGTGTGCTTCAAATGGACTTTCCACCTCCCTTACTGACCTCAAAGTAATGAGATAGTAGAAAGGTGGAATGGATTACTAAAACAACAGCTACACAAGAGTGAATCTATGAATACCTCTAAATGGGGATCCCATTTGTGGAAAGTTGCAAGTCGGCTAAATAAGCAACAAACTCCCATGGGAAGTCCCATAGATAAGCAATTCATGTCAGTAGCCACACAAATTCCTATTAAATCAGAAGTAAAATCCTATCGAAATCCCGGAGATGAGATTGTGGTTAAGCACCCCACTCAGGGATCCATCTGGGTGACTCTGTTGTCTTACAAAAGAAAAGGAGTATGGGATGCTATAGACACTAAAGGGAGTAAGTTAACCATAACTGAGGCTTGGATTATGTCTAAGACCTAAGTGCCTTCTCTTGCAGGAAAATGTGGTGTTACCTTGTCGCCATGGGAACACTGATAA